AGACAGCAATCAAATTTGCGAAATTGAAATGTTCTAGGTTGTTTGGAACAACAATCCCGTCTGATACGTGACCTGTTAACGACAAATATACGTCAGAACAAGTTCAGCCTCAAGGTAAGTCAAGTCCATGGTAGCTTTGTGCTCTGGGATGGACGAATTTTCAGCACTGAACACCATATTTGTGGATGCAAATCCTCGTTTGGAGTCAGGTCGGAACGAGAGCCGGATTGATGTGACAATTTGGATACAACGGAACGAATTTCATCGATCCGTGAATTATAGACTTAATACACATGATCACACACGTGGAACAATCAGGGTTTCGAAATTTCGAGCGGGTGATCTCCACGTGTAAATGTATTTAGTTCGACGACCGATTATCTCTTCGTGCCTATGCACAGCTGACCAACCCATGATGACAGTTGAACGCGATTCGCACTGCTCCATTGAGGGCCCCTATCAATCCATCAAAAAGTCAGCTGTTCCGTATGCGTTGATCACAAGACAAAACTGATTTCGGAAACTGCTTAATATCATCAGGTTCTTTGCTCAATTCAACTGGTGTTCCGATTGACCAATCATCATACGGTGAATTAGGCGATTCGTCTACTTGTAGCGTGTACACAGGCAACCAGTCTGTTGATCGGTGGGCGAAAAAAAGCGTAAACGCGCAAACAGTTCTCTAAACCGATTCACTAAAGCAGTGCAGGCGTCACATGTGATCAGATTGCAAAACAGACAACGAATCGATCATAGCGGACAATTCAGGGCTAAAATTTGATTGACTGATACGAATCGATCTTACGGTGAAGTCAGTTCGCGTAACGTGCGTGCGTGTGTGCGTCCGGTCGAAGTCAGTATCGACCGAACACTCGATAATGCCATACAACAAACGTTTGAATCATTTGTAGACTACATCGTCAACATGCTCAACAATGTTTTCACCCAGTTGATTGCTCTCGGTCGCATAAACCCGAATGAGAGTCTTAACTGGAAATGGCGATCCCTGTTTTTCAACCCTTTTCGTTCATATCCACGGTCTTTGTGACGATTTTGATAAACATGAAAGTAATCGTCTGTTTGGGAGGCCAGGGGAGTTGACCGAAAATGAAAATACACATCGATGAAAAAAATCGAATGTTTTTCTTTATTACGTAACAGCAGACGGGTTGAAACTCATAGTTGCGAAGACCTGCTGTTCAGTGATGGCAACCAAAGTTGGGTGATGGTGGTGAGGTTCGAACCTCGGACCATGAGGTCCAGATCACGCCAGTGACCGCGACTAAATCAATGCACCATCACCATGATAGTGATCAAAATTTACACGCATTATCTCCATTTATCCTACTAGTTTTTTGAGGTTCATCTCAAGTCAACTATGATCAGAATTCCTTCTCGAGCCGGGTTGGGGTCGAGTACCATTTGCTCATCTGAGAATTGTTTGTCACATGGTATGTATTCGCTGAGTGCAAACGAGCACAAGCTTTTAAATATTTTCAATGGATTCGAATTCTGGATACTATTCAACCTGCGTATTCATCTCACACACTGGCATTGCATATACTCGTTTTCGAGTCGAAGAACTTGAAGGATTAATAAAGTTTGAAGAAAGATATTCGTCACATTCGATATGTGATCATTCGGTTATTCTGTTCTCGAATATGTTCCCTTCCGCACCACAGACGGTAAAGCTGAACTGATTGAGTACCCAGCTAAAACGAAACTGGAACGATTACGACAGGCGGCCGTACCGTTGGCCTATCAGCCCGAAGTGGATTCGGAAAGACTGTTCGAGAATCTAATCATGGATGGATGGAATAGGGTGGGCACTTCATCGTCGCGAAAACCAAATGGAGACAAACTGACTGAACAAGATGATCCCGGATTGAGTTCCGATGGGGCAGAGGTTCTCGAACCGCGTGGTCGATTCTCGACTACCAGCCAAGAAGTGCCTAGCCGCGTGGATCGAATACGTCAGCGGTTGAATCAGATTAAGGTATGTGTGTGTGTGTGTGTGTGTGTGCGCGCGCGCTCGTGCTTCTTGTTCCATTACCCACTAAGAAGTCTAGGAAACTTGATTTCAATGTACCAAATACTCCAGTATCCCAACTATCCATGTTTTCCACTGCTCCCATTATTGTCCAACGTCCACCACAGGGGAAATCCACTCAAATTAGTGCTCCGAAAATGTTGACTGGAATTCTAGCTTTAGTCCTTTACCTTCGGAGTTTGCATTCCTTGGAATTCCCTACCACATCACGCTTTCTATACGCCCACATATACATAACTGCTGGTTTGATTCGCATGAATCGACTGGACGGCCTCGAAGCGAGCATATCAACACGCACCAATTTGCTCCCAGACGTACTCGAGAGAGAGAGAGCCGCGTCCCCAGACTAGAACAAACTCGCTCGCTTCCAAGGACCTCACTGTGTATGCTGAACATTCCATTACGACGAGAACACCGGAGCCATATGGAGCTTGATAGATACGGTGCAACTGCTCCTGACTTTCCAGACTGCAATCCGAAAGATGTTCCAACTGTCTGGCTTTCGAAGCGGAAGTACACGGTTGAGGGACAAATCTACCTGGTGGTG